AACAGTTTCTAGATAACCCATGGTTGAAAGAAGAAATGATAATGAAAATGCAAATTTGTGGGATAAAGCTAAAATAATATTTAGAGTTATATAATAGTGTCAAATATTTATATTTAAAAAAGAAAAAAGGCTGAATATAAACGAGCTAACTATGTAACTTAAGAAGTTAGAACAGTATAGTAAACTCAAAGAAACTAGAAGGAAGGAAGTGATTAAGAGCAGAAATTAATGAATTTGAAAACAAAGATGTGGTAGAAAGGATCAACAGAACCAAAAATTGGTTTTTGAAAAGACTGATAAATTAGACAAATGCCTGGCAAGGTAGAGTTAAAAAATAAAAATAAAAAAAGAAGACCTGTAAATGTATTGGAAGTAAAAAAGGGACTTGACAGATGCAACCATGTGTTTCAAATATAGGAAAATGTTTGGACAACTTTATGCCGATTCATAGTAATAATTACAATATTACAGAAAGATTTTCTCATTCATAGAATAGAAAAATATATAATATTTCCCAGCTTAGTTTATCAGGCTAGTAAAACTTTAGAAGGATAGAACAAAAAGAGAAAATTACAGGTCAGTCTCCCTAATTAACATACGTAAAAAATCTTAAGCAAATATTAGCAAACCAAGTCAACTTATTGACTTGGTTTAGCAACTGTATTGAGTTTAAGTCAGGGAAGCAAGTTTGGTCCAGCATTATAAAAAATTTGTTAATGTAACTCACCATTTTAGAAAATTAAAGGAGAAAAAGTATATGATAATTCAGAGAGATACTGAAAAAGCATTCTGTAAAACTCAACAACGATTTATGATCAAAACTCTTCTCAAACTAGGATTAAAGGGAATTTTATTTAATCTGATATAATGTAGCTGTAAAAAATATGTAGCAAGAATCATACTCAATGGTGAATGATTAAAAGTCTTGCATTTAAAATTAGGAATAAGACAAGGAGACTTGGTATCATAATTTTTAATTAACATCATACAGGCATTTCTAGCCTGAAAAATAAATCCAAACACATACTAACACTTACGAATAAGGAGTTGAATAAAAGAAGCGAACTGTCATTATTTGCAGAAAATATTATTCACAAAGAAAAATTTTTTAAATTATACACAATATTAAAATGAATCAGGATTTAGTAGGGTGCTAGATAGATTAATATGTGAGAAAATTAAATTTCTATATCAGCAATAAAGAGTTAGAAAATCCAATTTTGAAAAAGATACAAATAGTTTCAAAAATACAGGTCACATGGGAACAAATCTTAACAAAAAATATACAACTCTTATGTAGAAAAAAATTCTAAAGCATTATTGAAAGATTTTTAAAGATATCTATAAATAGAGAAACCAATGATGTTCATGGATAGGAAAGTCCAAATGTTACAAAGAAGTCAGTTCTCTTAATAGTCTTGCAATTTCTATCAAAATTCTATTTGTGGAAAGTGATAAAGTTGAATTTACAATTTATAAAGAGGAGCAAAGGGCTATAAATAGGTAAGACATTCCTGAAGAGAGAGAACCAGAAGAGGACTTGCTTTGCCAGATAGAAGGACTTATTATAAAGCTACAGTACTACATACCGTGTTTTGTATTGGCTCAAGGATAGACAAATGTGCTGGTGGAACTGAATAGGAAGCCCAGAAACAGACTTACACATATTTGGAAACCTGATTTATGACAGAGCTGGCATTGCAGATTGTTGATGGTGGGACAATTTATTATCATCATGGAAATAAAAAGAAAACAGATCTTCACACCATACACAAATTAATTCCAGATGGTTTAAGGACTTAAATGTGAAATACAAAATTATAAAGTGTTTAGAAGACAATAGAAGAGATTATCTCAATGACAATATTTTAGGGAAGGTTTTCTAATCCAAGACTGAAAAATAATCAACTAGAAAGGAAAAAATTGATTAGTTTGATTACATAAAAAGTAAAAACCTCTGTTGTTCAAAAACACTATAATAAAAGGTCCAGCAGAATCTTGTTCAAGATGATGACCTTAAATACTTAGTACATTTGATTGTATTTGATATTTACACAACTGGGTGATAGTTTAGGATGAATTGCTATTAAATACATGGCGTTTTAATCATGATGTGTCTTGGTGTGGGCCTCTTTGGATCCCTGGTTTTTGGAATTCTCTGAGCTTCCTGGGGTTTTATGTCCATTTCCTTCAACAGGTTAGGGAAGATTTCCATCATTATTTCTTCAAACAGCTGTTCAACATCTTGATTTTCTTCAGTTATGCTGATCAGACGGATATTTGGACCCTTAATAGTGTCCCACATGCTCCTTAAATTATTTTTATAGTCTTGGCATCTTATCTCTTGCCATTCTGATTGAGTGTCCTTGGCTTTCCCATCCTCTAGGTAGGGCATTGATCCTTTTCTTTATTCACTTTGTTTATTCCATTTAATATACTTCTCATCTCAGATAATGTGTTCTCCATTTCAGACTGGTTCCCTTTTATAATTTCCATTTCCATTTTTATGTTTTTTTTTTTTATATCTTTTTTGGAGTTTCTACACTTCCCAAAAGTTCATTGAGCATCTTTATAATCAGTGTTTTGAACTCTGCATCTGTTAGATTGCTTGACTCCATTATATCTGGATCTCTGTTCTGTTCTCTCATATAGTTTCTGCTTCTTTGTCTTCCCATTTTGGCTGCCTTTCCGTGTCTGTTTCTATGTACTAAGCAAAGCTCCTGAGTCTCCCAGTCTTACTAGTGTGGATTTGTGAAGTAGGTTTCCAATGGCACAGTCCTGAGAGGGGTTTAGCTTCAGGCCAAATTTAGCCCAAGCCTCTACCTCTCCGGGGCCACCTGTTAAGATTCAGCAAGCAATCCACAGATGCTGTGCTAATATTTGCCTCAAAAGGCCATGTCAGAAACCGAGGCCAGCTGCCTCCAGTGTGATTCTAGGCACTGCTCAGCAAGGAGCACCTGACTCGCTGAGGATAAACTTGGATGTGGCTTGGGTGGGGCCGCGAGTTGGGGAAGGCAGGGTTTCAGAGAATCCTCTGAGCGGAGCGACCTCTATTATCCAGTTTGATGACGTTTCAGCTATGGTGGCGCAGGGTCTGGCGCACTGGTAGGGGGTAGGGCTCAACAGGAAACAATGGATATCGCCAGCACTTCTGTACCGAGTCTCGCGACTCTCACTCCAACAGTGTCTCCCTGTAAATCCCTGGTGCTCCCAGCGTGCAGCTGAATTGGTACTGGTACTGAGAATGAGCAGGTCCCGTCACTGTGAAAATCCGCTCACAGACGCAGCCTCTTTAAGAGGCATCTGCCGCTGCTGCATCCTCCGTCTCAGCCACTGAGACTGGGCAGCCCTGTGTCCTCACCCCATCCTACCTTCTGCCGTTGCAGAGTGCTTTCTTGGATTTCTCCCTAGCTGTATGGCTTGTTCATCTAGATCCCCTGCAATTTTTTTCTTGCTGCTGCTCCTTGTTTTCATTCCAACTTTGATTTGGTCTCCAGAGGGGTAAACAGAAAATCTATCATCTATGCCATTTTTTCCCCCATTGAGTTAATTTTTATATATGGTGCCAGGTTAGGGTACAACTTCATTATTTTGTATGTGGATATCCAATTTTCCCAGCACCATTTGTTAAAAAGACCATCCTTTACCCATTGAATGATTTTGCCCCCCCTGCCCCCACCAGCCATCAAAAATTGTTTGAATATATGTGCAAGAGTTTATTTCTGAGCTCTCAATTCTATTCCATTGGTCTACATGTCACCTTTATGCCAGTACCACACTGTTTTGATTACTGTAGCTTTGTAGTAAGTTTTGAAATCGGGAAACATGAGTCCTCCAGCTTTGTTCTTCTTTTTCAAAATTAATTTGGGATTTCTGGATTTTCCATATAATTTTAGGATGGATTTTTCTATTTCTGAAACAAATTTCATTGGGATTTTGATAGGAATTGCATTGAACATGTAAATTAGGTAGTATTGACATCTTAACATTATTAAGTCTTCTAGTCAATGAACATGAGATTTATTTACTTTTATTTATGTCTTCTTCAATTCCTTTCAGCAAAGTCTTATAGTTTTACTTGAATGAGTCTTTGACTTCTTTGGTTAATTCCTAAGTATTTGATTCTTTTTGATGCTGTTATAAATGGAATTGTTTTCATAATTCCCATTTCAGATTGTTCATTGTTTGTGTGTAGAAGTGCAACTGATTTTTGTGTGTTGACTCTGTCCTGCTATTTCCCTGAATTAATTTTTAACTTTAATAGTTATTTTCTTTTGTAGAATCTTCAGGGTTTTCTATATATAAGATCATATCATCTACAAACAGAAAAAACTTACTTCTTCCCGTCCAACTGGCATATCATTTATTTATTTTTCTTGCCTAATTGCTCAGGCTATAACTTTCAGTATTGTGTTGAATGGATGTGGCAAAAGAAGGCATCCTTGCTCCTGATCTTTGAGGAAAAACTTTCAATCTTTTACCCTTGAGTTTGAGGCTTGCTGTGGGTTTTCATATATGGCTTTTATTATGTCGAGGTACAGAATAGATTTTTTCTACTGTTTTTTTGATTTGTATACTTTCCAAATTAATTAAGAAAAAGAAATGAAATAGGGAGAACCGATTAGATGTGTTCGTGTGTGCACATGTATACTCAGATAAACATATATGTAAATTTTATATCTATATATATGAATAAAATTGGAAAAAATACTTATTGACGATATTGTTTAGAAGCATATTTGAAAATGGTAGATGAATTGTTTCTTAATAAAACAATATCCCAACTATTTTTAGATGTTGCATCTATTGAAAATATTATTTCTATGCTGGATATAATGTTTAAATTGTTGTAAATTGAGGAGAATTAGTTGGAACTTAAAATAGTAGCAGTTGAGTAGCTATTTGTATTTATAATTTGACACACTGATAAGAAAACAAATCTATATGTTTATGTATAATGACTTACTCTTCTAAAAGAGAGATGTTTCTTCTTATTTCAGGCAACCTAATGAGGCCTCTTTTGAATTATGGTATTGCTTGGTAAGCATATCTTTTTTACTTTGTTACTTCTCAGAATAATATTGATTAATTTATGTAAATTAGTTGTATTTTTGGTTTATTGTTGCAGTATGTCTATGGGCTTCCTGGTTGAAGAGACTGCTCCAGTTGTTTGGAGAGGCCTTATGGTAATGTCAGCCGTTGAGAAACTGTTGAGGCAGGTATGAAAATTGCATTAAGTATCCTGTTATTATTGGCACACTGTGGTTAATGCATTTACTGATTAGAGAGCTATTAAATTTGCATTTAGGTTTGAGATGTTTTGCAAAAGAATCCAGTTGATAGACTGAATGTATAATAAGATATGTGGCGCCAAGACCAAATTTCATTGTTATATGATGTAATCTTTCCCATTGCTTATGAGTATTAAAAATCCTAATGTCATATTGTTTTGTTGCTCTGTTGAGTCTGTAGTAAGATGAAATGATCTATTTTATAAGTAATATGCCTTATTTAGATTTATGGTTAATCTCATTTTAGCCAATATGAGTTATAAGGGCAGTGTAGGAGTTACTCAGATATAAGAAAAAAATTGTATAAACTATAGTGCTTGTGATTTAAAATTGCTTCCGAACAAAATAAAATTTTGTTTTACTCTGAGTACATATGGCTATATATTTGTCTCTATAATACATGTTCAATCAACTTTAATTTATCCTTAAGGAAGTGAACAGTTGATTGGATAATCTAAAAATATCAGATGGGCTGTATGTTATTCATAGCAATAAATTTTAATTTTTTCTTAGTAGTGTGAATTTATAATTAATTATATTCTAGATAAATATTATGAGTAATTTGGATTTTATCTACCAACTTACATCAGTTACCTCTTATTCAGATTTTACTTTGGTGCAGGTACCATGCTATAGGTTGCCAGTTTGAATCATAGATATTTCTATATATGTATTTATATATAGAAATACTTATATTTCTATATAAATTATTTATATACATTTATATAAAATGTTCATATGTTTATATTTTTCCATATATAAATATATATTTGCACAAATACATTTGCATAAACATAAATACATATTTACATAAATATATAATTATAAATATTTCTATATCAATATTTACATTTTTAAATGAAATACATATTTATTTCCAATTGCGATAGTAAGTAGATGAAATATGTCTTGAACTTTGAAACTCGTCTTTTTTCATTGTAATGTCTTTCTTCTGCTGCTTGAGTTCTGATAAATGTGTTCTTTGATCTCTGGTTCCAGTATCCTCCTATTTTCCTAGCGCCTCTAAGTCTCTTCGGTGCATCTTCTCCTCTTCTACACACAGATCCCACAGTTGGTTGTTTTAGTTCTACTCCTAACAATATCTTTTCTCTACCAATTCCTTTTTGATCTTTATTTGTCTGGATTAATTTAGCCTCTTTTTTTTTTTTTTTTAAGGAAATTCTAAACCAGTGTTGATTTAGTTGATAGAGTCAATAGAAATTCAGAAACACCAAAAAGAGAATTCTAATTTTGTCGTGAGAATATTTCAAATATGAATTTTCTCCCTCTTATATTGCTGTTATAATTCTCAACGAGAAATGATTCAGAATTCTTCTCAATCCTTTATGGATAGTCACAAGAAGGTGGAAATACTTCTGCTTTCCACAGTAATCAGAAACTTAGAGAGAAGAGATAAGGAGATTCAGGCCAAGCACTGGTGCTCACAGCTCAGCGATGCAGGATTCCCTAGCCCTACAGTCTGTTCTCAGCAAGATGTGTGCAAGTTCTCTTTCCTACCTCTGTGTGTCCTTTTTAAAATCTCAGGGACCATTTTAAATCTCAAATTCCAACAGGTGACAAAAGCATCTCTGCAAACGAGCCCTTGAGGGTAAGGGGTAAGGAGAGAGAGAGAGGGAGAGAGGGAGAGAAGGAGGGAAGGAGAGACAGAGAGAAAGAAAGGGAATGGGAATGGGAATGCATGTGCCTTCAGGAGAGAGGCAGAGGGAGTCTCCCACAGAATAAGTGAGATTAAACCTAATAGTTCAAATTAATTAGGCTACAAAAAGAGTGTGCGCAAAGTTCAAAGTTATATTCAGTACCTGCTTTTATAAATGAAGAAAACTTTTTTGAGACCAGAGGTGAAAGAATCAAAAGTCTGAAGGAACCAGAGAATATATATATATTTTTTATTTTGTGGGGTGTTGGGGAAGAGAGGAGGGGCAGATCCCAATTCCACATTCTCAGTCAGTGTCCTTCCATAACCCAGCCTCTTTCATATACAACTGAATACTGTCAGAGAATATGGAATAACTGTGTTAATTGCTGGCATTATACAATTTTTGATTTCTGAATTCAGCCATGGTCTCAACACTTTAGTCATCGATTTTATTCATTGTTCTTCTCAACTTTTGTCAAATGCTCAGCTTAAAAATATTTAGGGAATTTGATAGTCTGGCAGAGGACCTAGTGGAGATTTGGAGATTAGTTCTCTGACAAATAAATTGTATAAAAGTCAGTTTACTCAGATAGGTGCTGAAGATACATTTTTAGCAAACGTACTATAAAGTATCAGGATGAAAGATGGATTGAGAAAACGGATCTATAACTTACTTTATTGGGATAATCAGAGGATACCTAGAGTAACCTCTAGGATATGGATATTAGACTGAATATTTATCTTACAGTCTTTTGTAAAGCAACTTCTGTCATCAGCACATTTTAATGAGAATTGAAAAGCTGATATTTCGGACTACACTGTGACCATGCTGATCACCTGAACTGCTTTTTTTGTTTGTTTGTTTTAGAAAGCAGAACAGCATTTGGTAAGTTTACCATCCTTAGTGAAAATTTAGTAGCTGGATAGATGCTCTGCATAGTAGTGGATTATAGAAGTTACCTGATTCATTGAGTAAAAAAATTGAGTATAACATGTATACATAAGTGTCTATGAACCATACGTGTACAGATAAATTATTCCAAAGTAAAACACCAAATATATATAATCTCAGGAAAAGATAAATAAAATACCAATGTTCTAGAAGTTCCTTTCATGTCCTTTCCTAGTTACTGTTTTAGGGGGAGAAGATAAATACTTGCGGTTAGTCTGCCATCTTGAACTGGAAGTCTGGTTTAAATTTTTTTTTTCTCTTACGATATTTTATTGAATTAAACTTATGCATACAATGAAGTGCACAGTCTTATATGTATAGTTCAGTGATTTTTTGATAAATGTATGTACTTATGTAACCATAGAGAACATTTCTGCCCACCCTAGATAGTTACACTGGTCTCTCTTCTATTCAATCTCCCATCCATAGGCCATCACTGTTGCATGTTTTTATACTTTATATAAATGGAACTCTACAGGAGACTAGCCTTTTGTATCTTGTTATTTTCTCTAAGCCTAATGCTTTTGAAAGTCACCCTCTGTAGTTGAGTTCTTTTTATTGCTGCATAGTATTCCATTGCATGAATATAACCAAATTCTATTTGTCTATTCTGTTTGTGGATATTTAGGTAGTCTCCAATTTTTCGCTATAATGAATAATGCTGCTTTAAATACTTGTACACGTGTTCATAAGAGTTCCAGTTGCTTCACGTCTTTGTCAACATTCGGTGTTGTCAGTCTCTTCACTAGTGGGTGTGAAATGGTATCTTTTTATGGTTTTAATTTCTGTTTCCCTGATGGCCAATGATGTTGAGCCTCTTTTCATGTGCATATTAGATTTTGCTGTATATTTTTTTGTGAAGCATTTGTTCAGCTCTTTTACTCATTTTTTATTGGTTTATTTTTCTTCTTGTAATTGCGTTGCAGAAGTTTTAATATATTCTGGCTATAAGTTCACTGTTATATATATGTATTGGGAATATTTCTCCCAGTCTGTTACTTGCTTCTTGATGAGCTGAAGTTTTAAAGTTTCATGTAATCCAGTTTATTAAAAAAATTTTTTTTTTCCTGGTACTTTTTGTGTTCTAAGAAATCTTTGCCTGTCTACCCCAAGGCTGTAAAGATATCCTCACATATCGTACTCTCAAAGCTTTGTAATTCTGGCTTGTACATCTTGAATTAATTTTTGTGTGTGAATTGAGATAAAGGTTTTTTTTATAGTTTTGGTATAATAGGAATATGTGCATTCTTTGTTCTTGCATCCTGACCCAAAGCCCTATAACCTTTAGCATTTCCTGAGTGATAGGAATGTCTCTTGTCATTCATAAGGATCTTCTTTTTGAGTTCATGCTAGTGAGATAACTTAGGCTGGGGCCCCTAGATAGCCTTAGAATGGGGCTGGTCACCAGAAAGACCAAGTGTTTAGAGGGTTGGAACTTTCCGTCCTGCCCACTGGCCTCTGGGAAGGAGAAGGGGATTGGGCTGCAGATTAAGCTCTATAGAAACTCTTGAACAAAAAAAAAAATTGATGAGCTTCTGGATTGCATTTTTGGAGATTTTCAACTGACTCCAGTGTGTAGACAAGTTTGGGAACCACTGGTCTGCAGAGTTTTAAGAATGATAGTTCAGAATGAGGAATGAAAACAGGCAAGGAGGTAATAGTTGTTAGGTGGCCATTTGTTATCCTTTAGTAGAACAGTGAATGAAAAAAATCAGGGGTTTAAAAATAGATATATAGAAAGACCGTAGAAGTAGAGGTTTATTCTGCTTGTTAAATAAAATAGACCATACATGGGGGTAGAGAGTGGGGAAAAGGAAAAGAAAATAGGATGGAAGCCTAAGGAGAAATGGTATCAAATGAAGACCCTTTTTATTTGTTTTCCAAAAAGGATAGCCATACCTTTTCCAAATTATAGGATAGAGTAAAGAGGGACTGAAGATTCTAGAAAATGAGGGGATTATTGAAAGAGGAATATTGTGAAAAAAGGCAAAAAGGAATGGGCTTAAAATGTTAACACATGAGTTATTTTTGGAAAATAAGTGTGTAGTTCCAAGTTTGGTGAATAGAATGGAAAGAAGATCAGATGAGGAAACCCCATCATACCTGGTACTAAAAAGAGGTTAATAAATTATTTCCTTGATCTCATTGGAAGGAAAAAGATAGTGACTTCACTCAATAGAGAAAATTTGGCTCACAAAATTCAGTATTCATAGAATTTATCTGGAGGGCTAGCTGAAAATTCAGATTTATAGCCTTCCTGTTACACTCCCCCACTTAAAGATTTTCCTTCACTAGATCCAAGGGAGGGCGAAGGAGTTT